CCAATGTGATCTGGACTAGAGTCATGTGATTGCAATGTACAACGAAAATAAAACAAAATTGTTATCGACTCTCTTCTATTTTATCTTTATTTGCTACAAACGGAATGAAATAGAAAGTGATCAGTACATGGTTTTTTCACACTTGTTCTTGTGTTCCTTTACTGCTTACTAGTCGAGGTTTCTCTGGGTGGTCGCACAATGAGAATCGGACATTTCGCATGTTGGGCACAGTAATCACTCACACTCCCTAAAAACGCCCTGCATATAGTTCCAAACACCACAAATGAATGAATGTTCACAAATCAAAACCCGAAATTTCATTTGATTCTCTTCTTTCGGTCAGACCAAGATCAAAGTTGTATTAACCTTTTGATCATGCCGAATCCACGGCTACCAACAACAAGAAGGTCCACGTCAGTTTGCTCGACCGCTTGGCATATCATCTCCTTAGCATCTCCTTCAAGTATCTTCGTTTCCGTCTTCACCTACAAACACAAAACCAAATCTCAATGTATCGAAATCGAGTCCATGAGATTTAAAAACATATAGACATGTATAGAAATCACACACCATTTTGCCTCGGCATATCTCCAATGCCCGTGTGAACAACTTGTTCGTGTTCTCTTCTCTCGCTTTTCTCATTGATTCAGGAACTGAATCTGTCGCATAAACTGCCGAAGCTAAAAATTTACATTCTCTCTCTCTCTTAATATGTATATGAATCAATTCCCATATTTTCATGCACAAAAAGAGAATATATATTTTTTTCACCTGTTCCACCAGAAGGGTAGATGTATTGAAGGTACGTCGGATGAACATGAACCAACGTAAGCAAACCGCCTTCTTGATCGGTTTCCGGTTCAGCACTAATAACATCTCTGAGATGTTCAACTGCCCATTCCAACGCATAGAAGCTGTTCTTGCTTTCGTCAATCGCAACCATAACCTTTAACTTCGTCTTCTTCACCGTCGTTGTACCTGCCGTGTCACCAGCACCAATCGCATCAACGTAAGTCTCCATTTTTTGTCCGAACGTTTTAGTTTTTTTTTTTGGTATGGTTTTTTATTCGACTTTAGCCACTGACTTCACTTTATATGTATTGTTTGATTACGTAATGTTAGTGAGCATAACTGAGTAGGTGGAAGCTGGAGAGTGTTAACAGATGTTTATAATGGATTCTTCGATCGACACATCAGACTTGCATTGGAGACGTGGCATGTTCCTTACGTAGATCACAATTGCTCGTTTTTGAATATTTCAATGTACCTATAAAATCTTTTAAGAGCATCATTATCTCTTATCGGTGAATTTTTGTGGATATCATCGGCTGGATAATAATAAAAAACTATTTTTTAGGCTTAATTTTGGCTGAAACGTTTCTGCAGAGAGACTTCTGAGAAGGGATCAAAAGGCCACGTGTCGCAATGTGGGTGGACCAAAAAAAACAAAAAAAATCAGATGTATTCTCTCTCTTGTTCATCTTGGTTCGCGAACTCCGTGAACGCAGAACGCGTCGCCGCATCCTCCTCTACTCCGGCTAACAACCTTCGTCACTCTACCGGA